ACGTTTAACATTGGGCGGGATATGTGAGTGGATAGCTAATAACTTTCCGTACTATCAAAATAACAGAAACAAGTGGCAGAATTGCATTCGGCACAATCTAAGCTTGAATAAATATTTTGTGCGAATACCTCGGGCGTTAGATGATCCAGGACGCGGTCACTATTGGGCAATAGATCCATCAGCGGAAGACGTAACTATTGGGGAAACCACTGGCCGCTTACGTCGGAATAATAATTCAACGTTAAATGATTCAAGAGCAATTTTACATTGCGGTGGTGGTTACTCGTACGGACATCCTTATCACCAAAGCAACACAATACCGTTTAACTCTCATTACTCTCATTACTCTCCAAACGCTGTGTATTTTCCGACTCCAGATGAAGTTCGTTTTGTACAAGAAGCTGTACTACAAAAACAACATCAATTTCAAGTTCAACAAACACTTTCTGCTGAGTGCGGGTGCAATCTCCAACAATATACTATGTATGGGGGACTTCCAATGTAATATAATTCAAGGAAATAATTTTTTAATTTATTTATTTCATAAAGAAACTGTTAATTTGTACATAGTAATAATATGATATAAGATATTTTGGTAATTGTAATTGTTCAATGTATATAAATTTCATAATATATTAATAGATGTGAATGCTTAAGCAAATTTCTTCTGTTTTTTATTTAAAAAATGATTAATATTTTATTTGCATAAGGTAATTGGGAGGAAAGGTCTCTAAAGATCGAAGATCTATTGTACAAAAAAAGTTTCCTAATGAAAATGATAACGAGATACAACCAGATATTTCATTAGCGGCATATACCATATCGAATAAATTTTTACTTCAGACCTAAAAAATAAATAATACAATTAATTTGAAAATATTTATTAAGTAAATAATAAATATTTTAAAAATATCAATTTTATGTTTTTTTACGTGGAATTCTTGTTACAAATTACAAAATTTCCAATACAAATAAATGGATTAATATTATGAATAGATAGTCAGTAAATAGATCAATTAAATAATAAAATAATAATTTACAATACTACACTATTCTGTATTATACTGCACTACAATATATGTTATAGAAAATTTTTTGTGTCAGAGACTTTATGTGTTGAAACGAAGCAAAGTCCGTGTTTCAGTTTTGACTTGGTATTGTCGTCCATTGATATACATATTTCGATATCATAAAAGTGCTTATTACAATATATTATATGATTCGAAATATTTTTAGTAGGTGGGAAGTACCAAACAACAAGTGTGAATCTTAAGAAATGTTGTTGTGGATTCGTTGGACCTGGTCTCTAAAAACATGAGAAGGTACAACATATAGAAAGAATTGTGCAAAAATATTATATATATCTTTAGGTTGAAGTAATAATTTTTAAGTAAATTTTAGTAAAATACAAAATAAGTCTTGAGACTAGTTTGTTTTAGGCGATTTAAGTTTAATCTGTTCTAGTAATCTTTTTAATTGATGATAAATCAATAAAATTTAAAAATCTTTATATCTCTGTGTTTAGATAGTATATCAATATTTGTAAAATTTTGTTTTTGTAAAAAACGGATTTAGAACATTTTATCCTTGAAATATTGAAATATTTGTAAATAATCTTTAACTATAACACCGATACTTAGGAATATAATTTGCACCACTACAATAACAAATAACAGAAATAATATAATAAATTTTTAAAGTTTCATTCAGATTTTCGTGACATTTGCTGAGTAATTGTATTCATAACTCTTTAAGTTGAATTAGGGGGTTAGTGAAGAAAAGAAACAAGAGCAAATTCTAATGAACGGCTTAACGCGCAACTCAAAAATAAAATGATAAATTTTAGCAAACGCATCATATGTGCAGGTATGATTAAATGAAAAGAAAATTTCAAGAACACGAAGCTTAAGCCGGCAATAAACCATCAAAAGCAATGGATCTGGCTTAGTAGACAACATTCCATTAATGAATGGATAATTATTGATATCTGTATTATTTTTTTCTTAACTTCTAACTCTCTTCTTTTCGATGTGTAGTAGGTAGCACATACAGCCGGTATGTAGGAAGTACTTATGGACTTAAACGTAGTTACGCCCATGTATTAAATAGTATTAACTAGTTCTTGTTCTTGTAATATATATATAGCATTGATATAGAGTATTTGGTATTTCGTACTTACAACCTTAATAGAAAATATTTATATATTCCTCTCGCATGACTTTTTAAAAGTATAAAAGAGGGACACAACACCCAGACTTTATCAATCACAACTCAACGTGAGATAAGTAAAGAGCTCCAAATCTGATACCGCTATTTACATTTTCATTAACAATAATTTGAATAGAAATTAAATAATGGCTGAAGTATTCGAATCTAAGTTTTCAATTCGTTCTATATTATCGGACACAAAGTCCTCTTTGGAGATAGAAAGTAAAACTACGACGGAAGAATGGGCCATAAGTTCATGTGATATTACTTCTTCAGATGAAACATTATCGGATGAATCTACATTCACTAATGAGAAACCAGCGTATACATATAGTTCACTGATTGTTATGGCCATACGTAGCAGTCCTGATAAACGTTTAACATTGGGCGGGATATGTGAGTGGATAGCTAATAACTTTCCGTACTATCAAAATAACAGAAACAAGTGGCAGAATTGCATTCGGCACAATCTAAGCTTGAATAAATATTTTGTGCGAATACCTCGAGCGTTAGATGATCCAGGACGCGGTCACTATTGGGCAATAGATCCATCAGCGGAAGACGTAACTATTGGGGAAACCACTGGCCGCTTACGTCGGAATAATAATTCAACGTTAAATGATTCAAGAGCAATTTTACATTGCGGTGGTGGTTACTCGTACGGACATCCTTATCACCAAAGCAACACAATACCGTTTAACTCTCATTACTCTCATTACTCTCCAAACGCTGTGTATTTTCCGACTCCAGAAGAAGTTCGTTTTGTACAAGAAGCTGTACTACAAAAACAACAAGCTTTAAACAACTTTCACCCCCAGCTCCCAACTGAAGACCGAATTGCAGTACAACATCAATTTCAAGTTCAACAAACACTTTCTGCTGAGTGCGGGTGCAATCTCCAACAATGTACTATGTATGGGGGACTTCCAATGTAATATAATTCAAGGAAATAATTTTTTAATTTATTTATTTCATAAAGAAACTGTTAATTTGTACATAGTAATAATATGATATAAGATATTTTGGTAATTGTAATTGTTCAATGTATATAAATTTCATAATATATTAATAGATGTGAATGCTTAAGCAAATTTTTTCTGTTTTTTATTTAAAAAATGATTAATATTTTATTTGCATAAGGTAATTGGGAAGGAAGGTCTCTAAAGATCGAAGATCTATTGTACAAAAAAAGTTTCCTAATGAAAATGATAACGAGATACAACCAGATATTTCATTAGCGGCATATACCATATCGAATAAATTTTTACTTCAGACCTAAAAAATAAATAATACAATTAATTTGAAAATATTTATTAAGTAAATAATAAATATTTTAAAAATATCAATTTTATGTTTTTTTTACGTGGAATTCTTGTTACAAATTACAAAATTTCCAATTCAAATAAATGGATTAATATTATGAATAGATAGTTAGTAAATAGATCAATTAAATAACAAAATAATAATTTGGTATACTACACTATTCTGTATTATACTGCACTACAATATATGTTATAGAAAATTTTTTGTGTCAGAGACTTTATATGTTGAAACGAAGCAAAGTCCGTGTTTCAGTTTTGACTTGGTATTGTCGTCCATTGATATACATATTTCGATATCATAAAAGTGCTTATTACAATATATTATATGATTCGAAATATTTTTAGTAGGTGGGAAGTACCAAACAACAAGTGTGAATCTTAAGAAATGTCGTTATGGATTCGTTGGACCTGGTCTCTAAAAACATGAGAAGGTACAATATATAGAAAGAATTGTGCAAAAATATTATATACATCTTAGGTTGAAGTAATAATTTTTAAGTAAATTTTAGTAAAATACAAAATAAGTCTTGAGACTAGTTTGTTTTAGGCGATTTAAGTTTAATCTGTTCTAGTAATCTTTTTAATTGATGATAAACCAATAAAATTTAAAAATCTTTATATCTCTGTGTTTAGATAGTATATCAATATTTGTAAAATTTTGTTTTTGTAAAAAACGGATTTAGAACATTTTATCCTTGAAATATTGAAATATTGAAATATTTGTAAATAATCTTTAACTATAACACCGATACTTAGGAATATAATTTGCACCACTACAATAACAAATAACAGAAATAATATAATAAATTTTTAAAGTTTCATTCAGATTTTCGTGACATTTGCTGAGTAATTGTATTCATAACTCTTTAAGTTGAATTAGGGGGGTTAGTGAAGAAAAGAAACAAGAGCAAATTCTAATGAACGGCTTAACGCGCAACTCAAAAATAAAATGATAAATTTTAGCAAACGCTTCATATGTGCAGGTATGATTAAATGAAAAGAAATTTTTCAAGAACACGAAGCTTAAGCCGGCAATAAACCATCAAACACAATGGATCTGGCTTAGTAGACAACATTCCATTAATGAATGGATGATTATTGATATCTGTATTATTTTTTTCTTAACTTCTAACTCTCTTCTTTTCGATGTGTAGTAGGTAGCACATATAGTCGGTATGTAGGAAGTACTTATGGACTTAAACGTAGTTACGCCCATGTATTAAATAGTATTAACTAGTATTTGTTCTTGTAATATATATAGCATTGATATAGAGTATTTGGTATTTCGTACTTACAACCTTAATAGAAAATATTTATATATTCCTCTCGTATGACTTTTTAAAAGTATAAAAGAGGGACACAACACCCAGACTTTATCAATCACAACTCAACGTGAGATAAGTAAAGAGCTCCAAATCTGATACCGCTATTTACATTTTCATTAACAATAATTTGAATAGAAATTAAATAATGGCTGAAGTATTCGAATCTAACTTTTCAATTCGTTCTATATTATCGGACACAAAGTCCTCTTTGGAGATAGAGAGTAATACTTCGACGGAAGAATGGGCCATAAGTTCATGTGATATTACTTCTTCAGATGAAACATTATCGGATGAATCTACATTCACTAATGAGAAACCAGCGTATACATATAGTTCACTGATTGTTATGGCCATACGTAGCAGTCCTGATAAACGTTTAACATTGGGCGGGATATGTGAGTGGATAGCTAATAACTTTCCGTACTATCAAAATAACAGAAACAAGTGGCAGAATTGCATTCGGCACAATCTAAGCTTGAATAAATATTTTGTGCGAATACCTCGAGCGTTAGATGATCCAGGACGCGGTCACTATTGGGCAATAGATCCATCAGCGGAAGACGTAACTATTGGGGAAACCACTGGCCGCTTACGTCGGAATAATAATTCAACGTTAAATGATTCAAGAGCAATTTTACATTGCGGTGGTGGTTACTCGTACGGACATCCTTATCACCAAAGCAACACAATACCGTTTATAACTCTCATTACTCTCCAAACGCTGTGTATTTTCCGACTCCAGATGAAGTTCGTTTTGTACAAGAAGCTGTACTACAAAAACAACATCAATTTCAAGTTCAACAAACACTTTCTGCTGAGTGTGGGTGCAATCTCCAACAATGTACTATGTATGGGGGACTTCCAATGTAATATAATTCAAGGAAATAATTTTTTAATTTATTTATTTCATAAAGAAACTGTTAATTTGTACATAGTAATAATATGATATAAGATATTTTGGTAATTGTAATTGTTCAATGTATATAAATTTCATAATATATTAATAGATGTGAATGCTTAAGCAAATTTTTTCTGTTTTTTATTTAAAAAATGATTAATATTTTATTTGCATAAGGTAATTGGGAAGATATTTCAAAAATTTGAAAATTAAGTAGTAATGTAATATTATTGAATTATTCTAATACTCTTTCATAAACTAAGAAAACATATTTATTAGATTGTCAAACTGAGAATAGTAATAATATGATATAAGATATTTTGATAATTATAATTGTTCAATGTATATAAATTTCATAATATATTAATAGAAGTGAATACTTAAACAAATTTTTTCTGTTTTTTATTTAAAAAATGATTAATATTTTATTTGCATAAGGTAATTAGAAAGAAAGGTCTCTAAAGATCGAAGATCTATTGTACAAAAAAAGTTTCCTAATGAAAATGATAACGAGATACAACCAGATATTTCATTAGCGGCATATACCATATCGAATAAATTTTTACTTCAGACCTAAAAAATAAATAATACAATTAATTTGAAAATATTTATTAAGTAAATAATAAATATTTTAAAAATATCAATTTTATGTTTTTTTACGTGGAATTCTTGTTACAAATTACAAAATTTCCAATACAAATAAATGGATTAATATTATGAATAGATAGTCAGTAAATAGATCAATTAAATAATAAAATAATAAATTACAATACTACACTATTCTGTATTATACTGCACTACAATATATGTTATAGAAAATTTTTTGTGTCAGAGACTTTATGTGTTGAAACGAAGCAAAGTCCGTGTTTCAGTTTTGACTTGGTATTGTCGTCCATTGATATACATATTTCGATATCATAAAAGTGCTTATTACAATATATTATATGATTCGAAATATTTTTAGTAGGTGGGAAGTACCAAACAACAAGTGTGAATCTTAAGAAATGTCGTTGTGGATTCGTTGGACCTGGTCTCTAAAAACATGAGAAGGTACAACATATAGAAAGAATTGTGCAAAAATATTATATATATCTTAGGTTGAAGTAATAATTTTTAAGTAAATTTTAGTAAAATACAAAATAAGTCTTGAGACTAGTTTGTTTTAGACGATTCAAGTTTAATCTGTTCTAGTAATCTTTTTAATTAATGATAAATCAATAAAATTTAAAAATCTTTATATCTCTGTGTTTAGATAGTACATCAATATTTGTAAAATTTTGTTTTTGTAAAAACGGATTTAGAACATTTTATCCTTGAAATATTGAAATATTTGTAAATAAAATTTAACTATAACACCGATACTTAGGAATATAATTTGCACCACTACAATAACAAATAACAGAAATAATATAATAAATTTTTAAAGTTTCATTCAGATTTTCGTGACATTTGCTGAGTAATTGTATTCATAACTCTTTAAGTTGAATTAGGGGGTTAGTGAAGAAAAGAAACAAGAGCAAATTCTAATGAACGGCTTAACGCGCAACGCAAAAATAAAATGATAAATTTTAGCAAACGCATCATATGTGCAGGTATGATTAAACGAAAAGAAATTTTTCAAGAACACGAAGCTTAAGCCGGCAATAAACCATCAAAAGCAATGGATCTGGCTTAGTAGACAACATTCCATTAATGAATGGATGATTATTGATATCTGTATTATTTTTTTCTTAACTTCTCTCTTCTTTTCGATGTGTAGTAGGTAGCATATATAGTCGGTATGTAGGAAGTACTTATGGACTTAAACGTAGTTACGCCCATGTATTAAATAGTATTAACTAGTATTTGTTCTTGTAATATATATAGCATTGATATAGAGTATTTGGTATTTCGTACTTAAAACCTTAATAGAAAATATTTATATATTCCTCTCGCATGACTTTTTAAAAGTATAAAAGAGGGACACAACACCCAGACTTTATCAATCACAACTCAACGTGAGATAAGTAAAGAGCTCCAAATCTGATACGACTATTTACATTTTCATTAACAATAATTTGAATAGAAATTAAATAATGGCTGAAGTATTCGAATCTAACTTTTCAATTCGTTCTATATTATCGGACACAAAGTCCTCTTTGGAGATAGAGAGTAATACTTCGACGGAAGAATGGGCCATAAGTTCATGTGATATTACTTCTTCAGATGAAACATTATCGGATGAATCTACATTCACTAATGAGAAACCAGCGTATACATATAGTTCACTGATTGTTATGGCCATATGTAGCAGTCCTGATAAACGTTTAACATTGGGCGGGATATGTGAGTGGATAGCTAATAACTTTCCGTACTATCAAAATAACAGAAACAAGTGGCAGAATTGCATTCGGCACAATCTAAGCTTGAATAAATATTTTGTGCGAATACCTCGAGCGTTAGATGATCCAGGACGCGGTCACTATTGGGCAATAGATCCATCAGCGGAAGACGTAACTATTGGGGAAACCACTGGCCGCTTACGTCGGAATAATAATTCAACGTTAAATGATTCAAGAGCAATTTTACATTGCGGTGGTGGTTACTCGTACGGACATCCTTATCACCAAAGCAACACAATACCGTTTAACTCTCATTACTCTCATTACTCTCCAAACGCTTTGTATTTTCCGACTCCAGATGAAGTTCGTTTTGTACAAGAAGCTGTACTACAAAAACAACATCAATTTCAAGTTCAACAAACACTTTCTGCTGAGTGTGGGTGCAATCTCCAACAATGTACTATGTATGGGGGACTTCCAATGTAATATAATTCAAGGAAATAATTTTTTAATTTATTTATTTCATAAAGAAACTGTTAATTTGTACATAGTAATAATATGATATAAGATATTTTGGTAATTGTAATTGTTCAATGTATATAAATTTCATAATATATTAATAGATGTGAATGCTTAAGCAAATTTTTTCTGTTTTTTATTTAAAAAATGATTAATATTTTATTTGCATAAGGTAATTGGGAAGGAAGGTCTCTAAAGATCGAAGATCTATTGTACAAAAAAAGTTTCCTAATGAAAATGATAACGAGATACAACCAGATATTTCATTAGCGGCATATACCATATCGAATAAATTTTTACTTCAGACCTAAAAAATAAATAATACAATTAATTTGAAAATATTTATTAAGTAAATAATAAATATTTTAAAAATATCAATTTTATGTTTTTTTACGTGGAATTCTTGTTACAAATTACAAAATTTCCAATACAAATAAATGGATTAATATTATGAATAGATAGTCAGTAAATAGATCAATTAAATAATAAAATAATAAATTACAATACTACACTATTCTGTATTATACTGCACTACAATATATGTTATAGAAAATTTTTTGTGTCAGAGACTTTATGTGTTGAAACGAAGCAAAGTCCGTGTTTCAGTTTTGACTTGGTGTTGTCGTCCATTGATATACATATTTCGATATCATAAAAGTGCTTATTACAATATATTATATGATTCGAAATATTTTTAGTAGGTGGGAAGTACCAAACAACAAGTGTGAATCTTAAGAAATGTCGTTGTGGATTCGTTGGACCTGGTCTCTAAAAACATGAGAAGGTACAACATATAGAAAGAATTGTGCAAAAATATTATATATATCTTAGGTTGAAGTAATAATTTTTAAGTAAATTTTAGTAAAATACAAAATAAGTCTTGAGACTAGTTTGTTTTAGGTGATTTAAGTTTAATCTGTTCTAGTAATCTTTTTAATTGATGATAAATCAATAAAATTTAAAAATCTTTATATCTCTGTGTTTAGATAGTATATCAACATTTGTAAAATTTTGTTTTTGTAAAAAACGGATTTAGAACATTTTATCCTTGAAATATTGAAATATTTGTAAATAATCTTTAACTATAACACCGATACCTAGGAATATAATTTGCACCACTACAATAACAAATAACAGAAATAATATAATAAATTTTTAAAGTTTCATTCAGATTTTCGTGACATTTGCTGAGTAATTGTATTCATAACTCTTTAAGTTGAATTAGGGGGTTAGTGAAGAAAAGAAACAAGAGCAAATTCTAATGAACGGCTTAACGCGCAACTCAAAAATAAAATGATAAATTTTAGCAAACGCATCATAAGTGCAGGTATGATTAAACGAAAAGAAATTTTTCAAGAACATGAAACTTAAGCCGGCAATAAACCATCAAAAACAATGGATCTGGCTTAGTAGACAACATTCCATTAATGAATGGATGATTATTGATATCTGTATTACTTTTTTCTTAACTTCTAACTCTCTTCTTTTCGATGTGTAGTAGGTAGCACATATAGTCGGTATGTAGGAAGTACTTATGGACTTAAACGTAGTTACGCCCATGTATTAAATAGTATTAACTAGTTCTTGTTCTTGTAATATATATATATAGCATTGATATAGAGTATTTGGTATTTCATACTTACAACCTTAATAGAAAATATTTATATATTCCTCTCGTATGACTTTTTAAAAGTATAAAAGAGGGACACAACACCCAGACTTTATCAATCACAACTCAACGTGAGATAAGTAAAGAGCTCCAAATCTGATACGACTATTTACATTTTCATTAACAATAATTTGAATAGAAATTAAATAATGGCTGAAGTATTCGAATCTAACTTTTCAATTCGTTCTATATTATCGGACACAAAGTCCTCTTTGGAGATAGAGAGGAATACTTCGACGGAAGAATGGGCCATAAGTTCATGTGATATTACTTCTTCAGATGAAACATTATCGGATGAATCTACATTCACTAATGAGAAACCAGCGTATACATATAGTTCACTGATTGTTATGGCCATACGTAGCAGTCCTGATAAACGTTTAACATTGGGCGGGATATGTGAGTGGATAGCTAATAACTTTCCTTACTATCAAAATAACAGAAACAAGTGGCAGAATTGCATTCGGCACAATCTAAGCTTGAATAAATATTTTGTGCGAATACCTCGAGCGTTAGATGATCCAGGACGCGGTCACTATTGGGCAATAGATCCATCAGCGGAAGACGTAACTATTGGGGAAACCACTGGCCGCTTACGTCGGAATAATAATTCAACGTTAAATGATTCAAGAGCAATTTTACATTGCGGTGGTGGTTACTCGTACGGATATCCTTATCACCAAAGCAACACAATACCGTATAACTCTCATTACTCTTCAAATGCTGTGTATTTTCCGACTCCAGAAGAAGTTCGTTTTGTACAAGAAGCTGTACTACAAAAACAACAAGCTTTAAACAACTTTCACCCCCAGCTCCCAACTGAAGACCGAATTGCAGTACAACATCAATTTCAAGTTCAACAAACACTTTCTGCTGAGTGCGGGTGCAATCTCCAACAATATACTATGTATGGGGGACTTCCAATGTAATATAATTCAAGGAAATAATTTTTTAATTTATTTATTTCATAAAGAAACTGTTAATTTGTACATAGTAATAATATGATATAAGATATTTTGGTAATTGTAATTGTTCAATGTATATAAATTTCATAATATATTAATAGATGTGAATGCTTAAGCAAATTTCTTCTGTTTTTTATTTAAAAAATGATTAATATTTTATTTGCATAAGTTAATTGGGAAGAAAGGTCTCTAAAGATCGAAGATCTATTGTACAAAAAAAGTTTTCTAATGAAAATGATAACGAGATACAACCAGATATTTAATTAGCGGCATATACCATATCGAATAAATTTTTACTTCAGACCTAAAAAATAAATAATACAATTAATTTGAAAATATTTATTAAGTAAATAATAAATATTTTAAAAATATCAATTTCATGTTTTTTTTACGTGGAATTCTTGTTACAAATTACAAAATTTCCAATACAAATAAATGGATTAATATTATGAATAGATAGTCAGTAAATAGATCAATTAAATAATAAAATAATAATTTACTATACTACACTATTCTGTACTACAATATACACTACAATATATGTTAAAGAAAATTTTTTGTGTC